TCAGTCAGGTCCTGGGGGCACTGTTCCCGGCTCACCAGCAGAGGGCGCTGTGCCACAGCAGATGTGAGGAGGCCAGCTCTTGCGGTGCAATACCAGGGCCTCCCGGGGGAGCGCTGTTGCACCCAGCTGCAGGACAGAAGGGCCCTTGGGTACCTGCAGCTTTCCTTATGCCTGTAGGAAGGGACACAGCATCCACTATTTGCCCTTTTGCACACATCACGTTTCTCTGTATTTATAGCCTTGGCTGTTTCTGAGGCTAAGAATACAGGTGTCAGGTACCGCGCGTGCACAGAGCTTCCCTTGCTGTGCGTGGATGAGCCTGGGGCTGATGTGCGAGGAACATTTTCCTGTTATGCTGACCGGGAAACCTTCCTTTCGTTCTAGGTGGAAAAGGATTATTCTTACTTGAAGGAGATATGTGATCGTCAGGCAGAACAGCTGAGCAGAACCAGCCTCAAGCTGCAGGAGAAAGCGTCAGAGAGCGATGCGGAGATTAAAGACATGAAGGAAACCATATTTGAACTGGAAGATCAGGTGGAACAGCATCGGGCTGTCAAGTTACATAACAACCAGCTCATCAGTGAGCTAGAAAGTGAGTGAAATCACGCCCTGGTCACAGGTAGGCCAGGAGCCAGCAGGGTGCTGGGGAGGGCCTGCGAGAATTATTTTTTGAAAAGTCTTCCTAGGGGCGCCTGGGTGGCTCAGTCGGTTAAGCGTCCGACTTCGGCTCAGGTCACGATCTCACCGTCCATGGATTCGAGCCCCGCGTCGGGCTCTGTGCTGACCGCTCGGAGCCTGGAGCCTGCTTCGGATTCCGTGTGTCTCACTCTCTCTGACCCTCCCCCGTTCACGCTCTGTCTCTCTCTGTCTCAAAAATAAAAATTAACATTTGGGGCGCCTGGGTGGCGCAGTCGGTTAAGCGTCCGACTTCAGCCAGGTCACGATCTCGCGGTCCGTGAGTTCGAGCCCCGCGTCGGGCTCTGGGCTGATGGCTCAGAGCCTGGAGCCTGTTTCCGATTCTGTGTCTCCCTCTCTCTCTGCCCCTCCCCCGTTCATGCTCTGTCTCTCTCTGTCCCAAAAATAAATAAACGTTGAAAAAAAAATTTTTTTTAAATTAACATTAAAAAAAAAGAAAAAAGAAAAGTCTTCCTTGCGCATAGTCTGCGGTCTCCTAGGAGGAGAAAGGCAGGATACTTAACGCCTTTAACTGGAAAACAGGTGGCATCAAAGAAACAATCATCGAACATCGAGCCAGCCGCGTGGGGTGACGGTGAAAAGGAGCAAACGCGTTTTGGAGTGTCAGGTGTGCTGTGCGTGAGCCACACCGCTGACCGCACTCGTCCGGCCTTGACAGAGCTTTGTCTTTTGGACCTGATGGATGGGAAGATGGGTGACAGATGGTCAGATGGGTTTGAGCAGTGTGTGCTCTTGGGCTCGGGGAGAAAACAATTCTAGCGTGTGTCCCATTGAAGGTAGGATATCAAGTAACTTACAGATGTTGGCCACTTTGTTACTGAAGAGGCTCCAATATATGGCTTCTTTATGGACTCATTGTTTGCTTTGACTAGGGAAAGACTTTAAAAGGGGTTAGTTAAACATTGCCTGCCTTGTCCAAATGAGCTTTATCAAAATGATCCCATCTAGTGGTTTTTTTTTTTTTTTAATTTTTTTTATGTTTATTTATTTTTGAGAGAGAGAGAAAGACAGAGTGTGAGTGGGAGAGGGACAGGGAGAGAGGGAGATACAGAATCTGAAGGAAGCTCCAGGCTCTGAGCTGTCAGCACAGAGCCCGACGCGGGGCTCAAACCCACGGACCGCGAGATCATGACCTGAGCTGAGGTTGGATGCTGAACCCACTGAGCCACCCAGGCGCCCCCCAGTGTGTTTTGCTTTTGGAACACGAGAACTAATGCACAGAGCTTTTCGTGACACTGGCCATTGCTAAAAATAGCATAGCTGGTTGCCTGCAAAGTTCCCTGAGGCATATAGTCCATCCTCCTTATCTAGGGTCCCTATAGCAGGAGAGATGTGATGTGCTTTACGGAGAAAATATGTGCGCTAGACACGTTTTGTTCAAGCACAAGTTTTAGTGCTGTTGGCTGTGAGTTCAATGTTAATGAGAACTTCCAGAGAAGAGAAGAGGAAAGTCACCAACCCGTATATGAGACTGGTCTGGAAGATGCTGAAGTAAAATCTGTGGTCCACGATGAAGCCGTGGAAAAGATGGAAAAGCAGCTAGATTTGCAGATTTGTGAGATGATGTCTGGTTGAAAGAAAATGTAGTGGACTGCATTGTTATGAAACCAAAAACCAAGTAAATTTACAGTCCTGTTTCTCAGGGCCAGGAAAGCGTTAAACCCTTCTCAGCTGGTGCTGGTTGGCTCTCAAGGCTCAAAAGGCCACACACCATGAGAAAGTTAAAAACTTTGCAGGTGAGGCAGGTTTAGGAGGTGCAGAAGAATCTTTTTTTAAGTTTATTTATTTTGAGGACTGGGGAGCATGAGAGGAGGAGGGGCAAAGAGAGAGGGAGAATCCCCAGCAGGTTCCACACTGTCGGCACAGAGCCCGATGTGGGGTTTGAACCCACAAACCGTGAGATCATGACCTGAGCTGAAATCAAGAGTCAGACGCTGAACCGCCTGAATCACCCAGGCGCCCCAGAAGAATTTTTAAAATGCCTGCTGAGTGTTATACAGGAAAAGGGTCCCGTGGATAAGCAGGTTTCCGGCATTGTTGGGATGGGCTTTTTTTTTTTTAAGGACATTGGCAAACAAACCTGTGTAACACAAGTAATGTCTCCTTTGATAAAAATGTTGTGACCAGAGGCTCGCAAGAACCTAACTCCGTATTCCCCATAGGACCAATAGTTTAGTATTCACTAATTCTGCATGCATGACAATTTTATATAACTGCCACAAATGAGGATTGACTGTATAGTCTACACTGTGATTGATTGGTTAGCACCCGAGTTCCATCCTTCATTGGATGTGCCATGCAGGACAGCTACAGAATGTTAGCATTCAGTGTCCACAGCATTCAGACCATTCTCAGTAGTCATGCTTGAGAATACGACCAAACCCCCCTGCCCCTGTCCATGTATATTTCCAAACACAGCACCATGCTTGACAAGCATAAAGTCAAAGAAGAGAAGTTTGGTTTTGTTTTGTTTTTGTTACATTGCCCTTGAGAGTTTGGTTGTGTGGTCCCCAAATCCTTAAAAGTCAGCACAGACCCACCAAGAAAGCCAGCATATAATTAATGTTTTGAGCAGATGTCAGGCCACTCCCTGGGGTTGGATCACAACATACCCAAGATTGAAAATAACACAGACTGTGTGTCTTTTGAGAAGCTTTTTATTTTTTTTTAATTTTTTTAACGTTTGTTTATTTTTTTGGGACAGAGAGAGACAGAGCATGAACGGGGGAGGGGCAGAGAGAGAGGGAGACACAGAATCAGAAACAGGCTCCAGGCTCTGAGCCATCAGCCCAGAGCCCGACGCGGGGCTCGAACTCACGGACCGCGAGATCGTGACCTGGCTGAAGTCGGATGCTTAACCGACTGCGCCACCCAGGCGCCCCTGAGAAGCTTTTTAAAAAGAAATTTTTTTAATGTTTACCTATTTTTGAGAGAGAGAGAGAGAGAGAGAGCAGGCACATGAGTGGAGGAAGGTCAGAGAAAGAGGGAGACACAGAATCCGAAGCAGGCTCCAGGCTCTGAGCTGTCAACACAGAGCCTGATGCAGGGCTCAAACTCACGAACTGTGAGATCATGACCTGAGCTGAAGTTGGACGCTTAACTGATTGAGCCACCCAGGCTCGCCTTGAGAAGCTTTTTAACCTCCTTCCAGCATATTAAGGTATTATTAAGATGTCTCTTCCCTGGGAGACCCAGGGACACACAAATCCAGCCCAAGACCAGTCACTCCCCTCTATAAGTTCCTTGAGAGAAATGGACAGAAAAATAGAAACAAAGTTAAGGAGCGTTTTCTTATTCTGTAGCATTGACCTCCAGCCACAGATTCTGAGGCCCCCAGTGCTGCATTAGATTGTCCCATGTGGGCCCTGACCATGTGTTTATTCTTTTTGAAGCCTCTCTGGTAATTCTGACTCATATCCTTAATAGACATCTACTGCCCTGGAATGAATCACGAAGAACCATTGAAGAATTTTAATTGGGACACAATCAGACTTAAATTGAAATGAGTCCAGTAGCCATGTGGAAGAATCGGAGATAGAGAGAGGAAAGGACTGAGGATGTTCTTAATTAGGGAGAGCGGTCAGGTCACTTTGGAGCTGTTAAAATACACCCACCCCAGATCCTGTCTCCCCCCGGGCGTTCCATTTCTATGGGTCAGAGCCTGGGGCTTTGAACCTGTGTGCTCTGGAGAGGCTTCCCAGGCGATTCGGAGGCTTAAGTACGATTAAGAACCATGACCCTGGCAGCTGATCTAAAAGTCACCGGAGTGGGGCGCCTGGGTGGCGCAGTCGGTTAAGCGTTCGATTTCAGCCAGGTCACGATCTCGCGGTCCGGGAGTTCGAGCCCCGCGTCAGGCTCTGGGCTGATGGCTCAGAGCCTGGAGGCTGTTTCCGATTCTGTGTCTCCCTCTCTCTCTGCTCCTCCCCCGTTCATGCTCTGTCTCTCTCTGTCCCAAAAATAAATAAACGTTGAAAAAAAAAAAATTAAAAAAAAAAATAATAAAAGTCACCGGAGTAATAACCAGTCCCATCCTCTGTTATACAAAAGCCTTCGGTCTCACAGCTTTAGAGGACATTCAGGACGATAGTGTGCGACTGTCAGGGAGGCCGAGAGGGAGTGTAATAAATGTGAGTGGCAGTTTACGTCTTCCCAGAGTGCTGCATGGGTTTACCACCTGTCATCCGATGGTATAACCTAACGAAACACCGCTTATTTCCCAAACCATCCCGTTTTCTATGTCGGAAGATCCTCCGGTGTCTGGCTGCCGGTTATCGGGGTGCTAAGGATGGAATTTGTAGCAGAATGGACGGATTTTAAATCTGGAGCTGCTCCCTTGCTACCTAGCTTATTTTCCCCCAGGAGCCTTGCACCTTTTCCAACTCTCTGACTTGTTCTTTTCCAGGCAATGTGATGAAGCTGGAGGAACAGAAGTCAGACCTGGAAAGGCAGCTGAAGACGCTCACTAAGCAGATAAAGGTGAGGTGGGGCTACAGCCGGGGACGGGGGAGGGGCCTTCCCCATCATTTTACCGAGAGCATCCCCGCCTTAGGTTTGGAAACCTTTGAAAAGCTTCCCGATGACTCTGCTGGCCTGAGTTCCCGGAGTCCCTTCCCATGGCACGGGCCCTGGTACCACCGATTAGCGTTGGCAGGGAACAAAATTAAAGCAGGCTTTCATTTGCAGGCTGGAGCACTCTGATAACACGAAGGTGTAAGTTCCCACCCGTGCTGGGCCTCTTGCCCGGTAGTGAGGCAGCATGAGAGCGGCGCTCGGTGCCGCCTGGCCAGTCTTCCTCGGTGGCTGACACGGGGGGGACCCTGGCGCCCCTGCCCACGTGCCAGGCCTGGCCGGCCGGTGACGCGGGCGTGGGTCCTGGCGTTTTCAGGAGGAGACCGAGGAGTGGAGACGGTTCCAGGCGGACCTGCAGACCGCGGTGGTGGTGGCCAACGACATCAAGTGTGAGACACAGCAGGAGCTACGCGCCGTGAAGCGGAGGTTGCTGGAGGAAGAGGAGAAGAACGCGAGGCTGCAGAAGGAGCTGGGGGACATGCAGGGCCACGGCAGGTTGGTCACGACGGAGCCATGCGTTTGTGAGTCTGGCGGGCACCCGCGCAGTGCTTGGCTTCTCACTTAATCGCCATGCATGAGCCTTCGCCGTCTGGAGACGTGGCGCTTTGATGTCTCTCTGCGCAAAATCTTTATTCCTTTCCTAAGCTCGCTCCCCCGCGGCCGCCACCACGACACAGCCTAGGAACGGTTCATCCAGGGCCCCATGGCTGCCCATTCTCTGGCCCAAGGCGGTGAGAAGACTCTTGGCTCGCATACGTACGAAAGTTCTAGCTACGTGTCCTCTTACATTTAAAGACTAGAAAGATGTCCGGGATGCTCCTTAAATCCCAGCGCTGGTTAGCGCCCGGCAGTGCCCACTTCAGCGAGCCGTGGCAACACCTTGCGTGGGAAAGGTTGGACTCACTCCCCGGGGGAATTGCCACCAGATAAGGGACTCATTCCTCACGGCCCAGTGACATGCTTCTCCCTTGGCAATGCCCGTGGCCTGCCTCCAAAAGCCCTTGAAATAACCCTCTTTATGAGAAAGGATGACCACGGCAAACTCAACATCTGGCAGATAGGTGACTTTCCTTTTTCGTTCCGAGGGAGGGAAATCACATGGTGTAACGCCCCAGAGAGCTCTTCTTTTTTAAAAAAAATTTTTCTAATTTGTATTTATTTTTGAGAGACCGAGACAGAATGCGAGTGGGTTAGGGGCAGAGAGAGAGAGGGAGACAGACAGAACGCGTGGGCGCGTGAGCTGGGGAGGGGCAGAGAGACAGGGAGACAGAATCCGAAGCAGGCTCCAGGCTCCGAGCTGTCAGCACAGAGCCCGACGTGGGGCTCGAACACACGAACTCTGAGATCATGACCTGAGCCGAGGCCAGACGCCCAACCGACTGAGCCACCCCAGGTGCCCCCCCAGAAAGCTCTTCTTAAGCGGGATGTTTCAGAGGAAGGTACTCCTAAAGTGAGCTCAGAGTTAATTATCATTTAAAATTGAAATGGCTTACAAACGAGATTACAAAACAGTACTTTAGGCTTTAACTAATGCAGTGTCCCCTTCCCCCAGTCAGGAGTAAATGTCCCTAACTTTGGGATTCGTGGATATTAGGAAATTATTTGGAATTTCGAGATGCCTTTGAAATATGAAACGTAGCATTTTAAAATCAGAGTTAGTGGGTCCTGAATGCTGCTTGGTACAGTTTGCTTTTCTTACATGTTTTCCGGGATCTCGAGGGTTTGTTCCCTGGCTAGATTCTGAGCCTTTGGGCCTGATGTATTATCATGAATTTCATAACATGGGAAAAAGTAGATTTCTTATGAGAACTCTGTTTCAATTCTCTCCCCAAATTTGCTTTAGTTAGTCTTCCTCCTTCTTTTGTTGATGACTTTTACAGAAAACAGCCCGTAGAGAAGGATTCAGGTACAACATTTGTAGCTTGTTCCGTGATTCACGCTTGAAAATCGAGGTGATTATTTTATAGTCACACCTATACCCTGTGGCCTCCAGGGCGTGTGAATTTTACATTGAGGAAGGATAGGAAGACTAGACTTGATAGTGTTGACATGACCACGAGGTCCCCTAGTCTGCTTTTGTGCTTCTGTTTATTTGTCCTTTTGTCTCGCTTTCATGATGTGTGTCTTTGGAAGAGGAACCTGATCATAACTTGCATTGCTTCATCCATACATTATCTTAAAAGTAAAGGATAAGAGATGAGTCCTGAGTTTATATAGTGGCCCTGAATAAGTTATTATGTGGGCTGTTGTATTTCTCACATAGATTCTGAGACACAGGCCAGATTGTACAACTTGAACTCTGATTCCGTAAGAAATCCTCGCATGCGTCTTGACTCTTTAGGATCCATATACAATATCCTACATCTTCAAACTTCGGGTCACTTTTTTTTTTTTTTAATAGACACTGTACGTATCTCTTTTGATTTCCTAGTGATTTGCAAACCTCCCACCCAGATCTAGTAGTTTAATCCCCTATCACAAAACATTTCAGAAGTGTAGAGCTGGCACCATCCCAGAACGTGGCAGATTACTGAAACCCTGCAGGCATCAGTGTGTGTCTCACCCGTCGTCGTGTCGGGCGGGGCTTCAGACAGTGGCGGGTGCTGCTTTCTTGATCCAATTCTGCAGACTGGCCCTTCCAAAGAGTCGACTCTTTGAAAGGTACTCGCCGATGGCCCAGCCACTTCCTGAACCTCCCCCACGAGCAAGACTTGAAACTGACTCACACCCTCAAAGGTCCTGAAGCGACATAGTGTTTCCGTCTTGGCTGAATGGGTTCTTGACTGAAACCCAATTTGACTTTGCCAGTCACCTAGCGAGAACTCGAAAGTCATTCTTGGTTCAGGCACAGCCAACGAACTTGCAGAAAATTCTCTGATGAGGTCCTCCAAGTACAACTGAGAGAAGGTAAGAGCATCAGAAGAGCGCCTCTGTCCTACTATGGGATTAACTGATTCACATTCTCATTTTGCATTAATGGGCATTTGAAGGGATATAATGACGCTGGTAGGTGAGCAAAGGAAGTGCCTGGGTGTGAATACAAGTTAGCCTTTATTAAATCAGAACATTATTTAACCCAGTATTTTCCATCATTCTGAAAACTAGCTCATTAGCAGTCTTTGGTCCTGTTACGTTTTCGAAGGCATTTTGATTTTGGAGTCCGAGTAAACCGATGTGAAGATAGGTAGGTACGAGGCTCTAGTCTTGTCTTTGCCACTAACTTGGCACGGTTTCCTTCCTGGACCGAGCTCCTCTGTCCCTCCAAGCAGGAGATAAGAGTGGCTCGTGATTTAAGGCCCTTGTGTTCTCTGAAACCAGTTGGGCAGCTGGCCCTCCCCTGATGGGAGGGTCAGGAACTCACCTGCCAACAGTGAGTGCCCTCTGCCCAATGCAGTCCTTGTAACCTCCCAAAGTGGCATCTCCACGTTTTAGCTGGGCTGTGGACCTCACTTTTCTCTAACAGAAATTTAAGCACGCCAATGTAGTTCTTTTTTCTTTTAACTTTATTTATTTATTTATTTTGTGAGAGACAGCACAAGTGGGAAGGGGCAGAGAGAGAGAGGGAGAGACAGAATCCCAAGCAGGCTCCGTGCTGCCAGGGCAGAGCCCGACGTGGGACTCGAACCCACGCACCGTGAGATCATGACCTGAGCTGAAGTCAAGAGCCGGACGCTTAACTGACTGAGCCACCCAGGCGTCTCTGTACAAGCCAGGGTAGTTCTTAGTGGCCTGGAAGTGATCTGTTCTGCCGGACATTGGTAAATTAATGGATGAAAGGATAATAACTTGTTCAACTCTGGCTTCTTTCAGCTTTGAGTCATTAAGAGCAAGACGTTAAAATTAAAACTTCCATCGAAATTAAAACATCACGCCTTTTTCTGGAAAAGTCAAGACCTGGGGCCTGGCCTTCAGATACAGAGAACGCACACGCAGCCCCACATAGTGACTTGATGGGCCACACGCAACCTTTCTAGTGAAGGGACATTGTTGAGCAGTGAGTGACCCAGGCTTCTCCAACGGTAACAGGGAAAGACCTACACGTTTTTTTTTCTCTTACTCTGAAACAGTAAAAACCATTATTTTTAGGGTGACTTACTCGGTTCTCACTGTATGTTTATCATATGACCCCAGTAAGCATCCATGGTGACATCTGAAAAAGAGATCATTAAAAACACTCAACATCTGTGCCTCACGAACCGTAGCGATTTCTAAACAGAATGGCTGAGATGCCGAACGTGTCTAGCTTGTGCCGCTCACTGACTCTTGTGTTGTCCCCTCTGAAGCGGGCAGCGTGGTGGCATATTATCACTGCCAGACTCTCTGGAATCGGCTCTAACTCTGTGTGCACGGTGTATCCTGCCCTAACGTCCGTCACGTGCCTGTGCCGCCCTCTGTGTTCCCACAGCTGTAACGTGTCACAGCCGCTCGCCGGGGGGCGGGGAGGGGGGGGTGGTTGTTCTAGGACTCTCACTGAAAGGCAGAGCCTGGAAGTCGGAGGTGTAGCTTCTCGGAGATCTTCTCTGGTTCTCTCGTTGCAGCGACTTTAATACAGCCTCCCTGGCCCCGCCAGAAGGGTGACCTGTTCTCACGGGGGTTTCTAAGCGGGTTCTGGGCACCTGGGACCGTCAGGGGCCTCTGGTACTTCCTGTGGCCCTCTATATGCAAACTGGCCCTCTGGGATCCCAGCACAACCCTTCCACTCCTCATGTTTTCATGGCTGGAATTTGCATCTGTGGCATTGGATACACAGCCTAGAGTCCTAAAGAGCGATGTCTGCATCCCCTAACCCCCATTTTTTTTTTAAATGTTTATTTATTTTTGAGAGAGAGAGAGAGACAGAGCACGAGAAGGGCAGGGGCAGAGGGAGAGGGAGACAGAATCTGAAGCAGGCTGCAGGCTCCAAGCTGTTAGCACAGAGCCCGATGTGGGGCTCGAACTCAGGAGCCATGAGCTCATGACCTGAGTTGAAGTCGGATGCTGAACCAACTGAGCCACCCAGGTGCCTGCCCCCCAAACCCCAGTCTTTACAGAGTTGCTTTGAAAAGTGTGGACGTAAGCTTTCCCTAGATCTTTAGGACTTTTATGCCTTAATAATAAAAGAAATCCCCCCCCCTTTTTTTTTTCTTTTTTGGCCTCTACTAGGACAGTAGAGGGATGCCCGAACTGCTCTGTAAATTACAGAGGGGCCTGATTTTGTGCCTCCTGGCGGTCTCTACTTCCCCAGCACAGCTGCCCGTTGGTGAAGGTCTAGTGAGAGGAGGCTGGTGGTGGTGTTTTGAAGTCTCTGGCATGTTCTCTGACTGAAGACCTTTGACTTCCAAAACTGTTAGAGGCACAGGAATGAAAACATGCTGGTCCTATTCTAGATTGCTCGTGTTTCCCCGTGGGTCAGTGTCAGCCCCTCCTTCCTCTGTGTGTAGCCTGAGAGCATGTTGCCTCAAGGAACTCCTTTACCAGCCTTTCCCCCTCCATTTCTATTTCCACAGCTCCGTGGTCTCTGTCAGCTAGCAGAGCATT